TAAGGAAAAACTGCACGGAGCAGCAGCTCTGGAGTCGGGGGGCTGCACGGAGCAGCAGCTGCGGAGCAAGATAAGCGGCATGAGAACCAAGGACACCTTCAGAAGAAGAAAGAACATCTCACGGCTCTGATTGGCTAAGCACCTGTGTGAACGGTTGAGGAGTGTTTTGCAGAATGCTCTGTTAACATGTATAAATAGAGTAGTGATTAACAATAAAGCAGACAAATGCCACTTCAAGGGTATTAGAGGAATTTCCAATCATGAGCTTCGCTTTTGCAATATGTATGAGCTAATTATTTCATGTATAAATAGCCACGATATACTTAATAAAGTTGAGACCTGTTGATCATGATAGCATGAGACTTGTCTCCTGTGGTCTTTTCTCCGACAAATGGTGACCCCGACGTCCGGACACCACGCTAAGAGAGGGGGACTACATTGGGTTCGGGTCCCGCAGCTAGACGGACGGCGACAGAGAAAAAATTTTTGTGGAACTCCACGCCCTGAGCGACCACAGCGGTGGGACTCGGCCGATACGTGCTGCCGAAGCTTGGAGGTCTGCAACGGTACCGACGTGAGTATGGACAGGCAAGCAGCATATGAATTATTTACCGTCTTCTTGAGGAAGTGGCAGTTTAAGGGAATAGATTTAGAAAAGGATCTCCCTGTATTGTTAAGCCAAGCAGTTTCTTATGGGTTTTTTACGAACCCCCATTCAGTACACACTTTGGAAGAGTGGAGACGTTATGGGGATAAATTGTGGGAGTTAGTTTTAGATGAGGATAAGCCAGCAAAAAAGATGACTAAGTTATGGAAAGCGGTTCATAATGAGTTGTTGATGTCCCAGGCCGAGAAGAGGGCGGCACAGGGTGCTCAAGCGGCGCAGCAGCAAAACCTTGATTATGGGCTCAGCCATTACACCCCCCCTCCTCCTTCCTCTACGGTGCTAACTATACCGCCACCCGTATCTAAGCCCTCAGCGCCCCCATGGGAGTCCCCGGACACTAGCAGCTCTGCATCTGCCGCAGGGGAGGAACCTCGGCGTATCCCCCCTCAAGTCTCTGTGCAGGCGCCACGGAACTCCGAACTTGTCCCAGGGGCCGAGTCAGACCTGGCAGGGGCTATAGTTCAGGGAAGGCGGGAGATGTGGTCCATGTTAGCCAAACAGGGAATGGAGGAGGGCGATGCCGACCTCTTACAGGCAGCAACGGAGCAGCTGGCGTTCCCGGTGGTATATACGCCCTCACCACAAGGGGGGATGAACGCTACAATCCATAATTTGGATTGGAAAATGCTCTCTCAGTTGCGCGGCACAGTAGGGTCTTATGGGGTGACTAGTGAGCCAGTTAAACAAATGCTAGACTACATCTTTAGTGCAAATACTCTCCTGCCTGCAGATATTAAGGCAGTAGCTAGGCTAATATATACCCCCCATCAGCTGCTCTTGTTTAACGCCCACTGGCAGCATGAGGCTACAATATCCACCACAGTGCAAAGGGGTCCTGGGGATCCGCTAGCAGGGGTCACAGTTGATCACCTGTTGGGTCTTGGTCAATGGGTATGGGCGGAGGCGCAGGCACTTGCTGGCCCTGATATTTGTCGGGAAAGTATGGATACAGCCAGGAGAGCCATGAATAAGATAA